CGCACTCCAGTCTGGGCGACAGAGACTCCAACTCAAAAAAAAAAAAAAAAAAAAAAAAAAGTATTTTTTGATGAGTTTGGTTGAAAAGTAGTTTTACATTTTAATTAAGTCAAATATATTAAGCATTTCCTTTATGGTTTGTGCTTTTTTCCTGTCCTATCACAAGATTCCAAACACATTCTACTATGATATATTTTACAGGTATCTTTCACAAGCTAAGAATAGTTTTGTACTTTTTTTATGGTAGAAAAAATAAAAAGGAGAATATTTCATGACATGAGAAATTATATAAAATTCAAATATCACCAGGTATGGTGGCTCAAGCCTGAAACACCTGTGGTTCCAACTACTTGGAAGGCTGAAGCAGAAGGATCACCTGAGCCTAGCAGATCAAGGCTGCAGTGGCTACAAACACACCACTGCACTCCAGCCTGGGTGACAGAGTGAGACTCAAAAAACAAAACATACATACATACATAAAGAAATTCAGTGCCGGGCTCGGTGGCTCAGCCTGTAATCTCGCGCCTTTGGGAGGCTGAGGTGAGTGGATTGCCTGAGCCCGCGGGTCTGAGACCTGCCTGGGCAGCAAGACCTCATCTCTACAATAAATCAAAAAAATCAGCCGGGCATGGTAGTGCATACCTGTAATTCCGGCTACTCGGAAGGCTGAGGCGGAAGGATCGCCGGAGCCCGGCAGGTCGAGGCTGCGGTGGCCGCGAGCGGCCACTGCACTCCAGTCTGGGCGACAGAGTGAGACTCCAACTCAAAAAAAAAAAAAAAAAAATTCAAATATCATTGCCTATGAGTAAAGTTTTACTGGATTGTCTACACCTGCTTTCAGACCACAAGGCAGCACTGAGTATGTAACAGAGACCGCATGCAAAGCCTAAAATATTTACTATCTGGCCCCTTTACAAAAAAAGTTTGCCAATTCCTGTTTTAGAACTTTTTTGTCTTCTATATAAGTATTTACGGGTAGAAATTTCCCTCATAGCCCACTTTAGCTACCTCCCATAAGTTTTGACACGTTTTCATTATCATTGAGGTCAAAATATTTGCAAGTTTCCCTGGCAATTTTTTTATTTTTTTTTTAATTTGAGAGACAGGATCTCGCTCTGTTGCCCAGCCTGGAGTGCAGTCACACAACCATGGCTCACTGTAGCCTTGACCTCCTGGACTCAAGCAATCTTTTTGCCTCAACCTCTTAAATAGCTGGGTCCAAGGTGTGCACTACCACACCCTTCCCTTTTTTTTTGAGTCAGAGCCTCAACTCTGTTACCCAGGTTGGAGTGCAGTGGCATGCTCATAGCCACTGTAGCCTCGACCTGCTGGGCTCAGGCCAAGTAGCTGAAACTACAGGCACATACCACCACACCCAGCTAATTTTTTGATTTATTGTAGAGATGAGGTTTGCCAAGTTGCCCAGGCTGGCCTTGAACCTGTGGGCTCTCTTGCCTCTGCCCCCCAAAGAGCTGGGATTAGGCTGTGCCCAGCCTGATTTTTAATTTTTATTTTTGTAGAGATAAGGTCTCACTATGCTGCTCAGGCTGGACTAGATCTCCTGGGCTTGAGTGATTCTCCTGCCTCAGTCTCCCAAAATGCTGGGATTACAGGCGTGAGCCACCACACCCAGTCTCCCCAGTCATTTCTTTTTCATTCTGAGGTTATTTCGAAGTGTGCTGTAAAATTTCTAAATACAGGAGATTTTCCTGGTATCTTTTTGTTATTGATTTCTTTTTTTTTTTTTTTTTTGAGTTGGAGTCTCACTTTGTTGCCCAGGCTGGAGTGCTATGGTACACTCATGGCCCAGCATCGACCTGCTGGGCTCCGGTGATCCTTCCGTCTCAGCCATCCAAGTAGCTGGAACTACAAGCACGTGCTACCACACCTGGCTAATTTATTATTTTATTGTAGAGCTGAGGTCTCGCCAAGT